AGAGCATTCTGAATCGTTTAACGTAGCCTTGTGGCTGCTTACGCCTGCTGGTTTATTATCCAGTGTGAGCTTGACTCTTTAGGACCCAGGACCTGTCAGCTCCATCAACAAATTTCATCTATTTGGTCAACTATCTACTCATAAAATGCCTTTATTCTTTTTACCCATTTCTCTCATCTCATTTGCATTCACTTTAAACATATTATTTCCATGCATTCTGTCATTCATCTTTCTTCTGATTTCCTTGATTTCAATCACTTAAGAATCTACTGTTGTGTCCTTTGATGTGCAGTCCTACTCTTTAGGGCCCAGGCTTCTATGATTCATTAAATAATATTCATCAATCCAGACTGCCAACCAGCTCATCAAACTTGTTTATTCTTTTTCTCCATCTCTCTCATCTCTTTTACATTCGTTTGAGCATAAGATTTCCCCGTATTCTGTTTTTTATCTTCCTCCTATTTTTATTCTGTTAAATCTTTCTTGAATCTGCTGTTATGTTCTCTTTTGTGTGGTCCTACTCTTTAGGACTCAGGATTCTACTTTTCATCAAACACATTCATCAATCTGGACCACTCTCCTACTCATAAAACAGTTCCAATTCTTTTTTCCTTCTCACTTCTCTTTTTTACATACATTTTCTCTTGTCTATTTCCCTGTATTCCCTCTTTGAATTTCTTCGTGGAAGAAAAAATCTTCTTTGATGTGTGGTGCCAAGGGTTGCTTAGATAGGGTTCACAATTTTCCCCACAATGAAAAATTTGGCATCTTCTATCGCTTCTATATAACGGCCCCTTGGCACCTCTCTTGTTTCTTTCAACCACCACACCACAAGTTAAGTCATCCTCCATCACTCCTTTTCCCTTTCCTGAAGATACTTACAAATCGATTAAATTGAAATAAAATAAAATAAAATAAAAATAAAAATTTCTTCCACCCTGTAGCCTATTCTTTCTCACTTTGTGTATATTGGTGGTGAAAATGTCTAGGGCAGGATGTGAGATCAGATTAGATCTGCCTTTTTGAGATTAGATCTGCCGTTTTTCGGCTATGAGATCGAATTTTGAGATAGACACGCGGTACATATTGATTTTGCATTACAGCTTGGCATCTTGGCAGGTTTGATGCAACATGTAGTTGTGATGGTAAATACCACTGGGGTATATCAGAGCACTGCCTGCCTGATATCAGATTGGAAACTTTGATGAGATGAGATATCACTCCTTGGTGCAAGTGCTCAGTACATATTACTTAGAAGATCTAATATGTACTGAGCAGTCTAATCAGATGTGCGTAATCAGCTCCATCTCGAGGCACGATCTGATCATCTGATATGCCGTGCTCACCTTTACCCTTGTAGTATTTTCCATCTCAACCGGATTTTGCCAAGCTACAATTCGAAAATCCTTATTCCTTAAATGCTCCACTGACTTTCAACATTCACAACGCGCTCGAGCGTAGATGGAGGGAATGCTAGTCTGATTGTACTAAGCGGCCGATTTAAGGCGGAGAACTACTGGAAAACTGAACGGTCGCACCGTTGCCTGAGCCAAAGAGGCCCAAATCCTGCTCCATTTTTACCAGTAAATTTAGGAACGCCAAGTTCCAACTAGATCACTCCAACTACCCTACTGTTGTGTGTGGGGGGGTCTGGCATCGGAAATTTGCTCCGATGCATAATCCACCAATCATCGCTGATATCTATGACGCGCTCCGAAATCTCTGCTCCGCAGCAATCTATGTCTCTGCAGTAGTTACCGTGTAGTACGGTCCAAATTGAGTTCACGATAGAATTGCTCATCTCGATTTATTTGCTACTAGTACTCAAAAGTAGGGGATGGCGGGAAAGAAAAAGGAAATAATATGTATGTAAGTCATGGCAATGACAAACAAATGGGAAAGGGAAAAAAGAAAAAAGATATAACGCCGTTCTCCGCCCATGAAGAGAAACTGATGAAATGAACTCGTTTTTCACAGTAAAGAAACATACCGATGCCCAAGAATCACGGGAAATATAGACAGTAATGATGAAAAAGAAACCACCAACATCTTCATTGCTTGTTATCCGGCTAGATGTCCCGTTGTAACTCGACTTCGTGGAGGGCATCGACAAGGGCTTCTCCATTCTTCTTTTGCTCTTGTTGGAGCAGGTATTCGGCGTACTTGGAGCGGTGGTTGTGAATACCGCACTCGGTCTTGTTGGTGCCCTTCCATCTACCGGACCGCTCGTCTTCGCCCTCCGCAATAGGACTGCGATAAATTGTCAGTAATCAAAAAAAAAAAAACCAAGGGAGGTCGAAGGAGGAGGGGGACAAACCTGGTGCTATGCCAGTCCCCGATGCTCTTGTATCCCATATCCAAAAGGGAGTTGTAAGGAACGTTGTACTTGGTGACCTACTCCCGAACCTGCCTGAACGTCCAGTTCGCTAAAGGGTTGACCTTAATGAGCCCTGCATCATCCAGCCCGATAATATCCAAATCTCCCCTCTTTCCGCCCTGACTCTTTCTACGACCGGTGAGGACAGCCTTCACATTGAGTTCTGCGTAAGCCCTCTGTGCGGGCTCAACCTTGGCAAGATAGTCGTAGAGATTGTCGTTGGTGTCCCATAGATTATCCCCGTGGATACATTCAAAGTCTCGTGCATTGGCACATCCGCTCGGCTTGTAGATGTGTAGTTTCGAGTTTGGGTAACGCTCACGGACTCTGTCGACAAGTTCGAGGGTTTTATCGAAATGGTAGAGGGTATCGAGGAAGATAAGATCAATCTGACGGGGCGCCCCAGCATTGATACGGGATAGCATATCAAGTGTCACGAGACCGGTAAGGCCAAAGGCTGTAGTCTGGAATAGATTTGGGAGAGAAATCATGCACCATTTGAGGATTTCTGTAATGCATGTTAGACAAGTGTAATACCCGAGACCTAAAGTTCATAATGGAAAAAGTACGTACCTTCCGGCTCGAGAGTCTGCAATTGCTGGTTTAAATACTTCAAGTGAGGACTTGAGAAATAAACATCAGGCATGCTGGGGGTAGCTGAGCCAGGGGAATCATAACCCGACTCTTCATCCTGTGACATGGATCGCTCAGGGATGGGTCGTTGAGGGTATTCAGTTGGAGTTACTGTCATGATGTCTGGTTTTGTGTAGGGATTGTTGGTTCTTTCTGGGTACGATCCGCCGGATCGGGTGAAAGGTGAAGATAAAAAGGTCAAAGTCCGTTGGATGTTTATGCGAAAGAGATGCACTATTATGCCTTCCTATAGTATCCGTTGAGGGATGGAGGCTTGATTGGTATAGTTGAATTGAGAGAGTGCCGAAGCTTGGATGGAGTCAGAATGCAAAATCAAACAACGGGGAGGGGAGAGAAGAGTAAAAGTACAGATGCCATCGCTTCTCCGCTTCTTTCATCATCCTTCTTTGCGGAATCTATTTCAATAGAGACTGCAGGGCCGATGGTTGAATCTTGAGTTGAAATTGCGTGCTCAAGATAGCAGGGTGTGAAAAAAGCAATACTAGTCCTAATCGGGTCTTGGCATATATACGGGTGGTGTAGGATTAGACGTTGCCAGAAGAGTGCAAACTTTAGAAATCAGTCCCTGACAAAGTGTTGTTGTAGTGACAAAGGAGGGATGAGACCCCTGTGATGGAATATCAACTAATGGGATCCATGATATCGGCGAAGATTCAGTGGCCCATCAAGCGCCTGTGCGTGGCAAAAACGTCGGTTTAACTCCGGGTTAAAATTCCTAGTAATTAAAAAGTAATGTACCATGCCTCGGGACCTAGGAGGGGCCAAGTTCCTGCGTGTAGAGTACTCGCCCTAGGCAATAAGTACTAGGAGACAGGGGTCGTGGATTTTCATGGGCGCTGAGATACACACGGATATTTTGCCATATATGCGTCAGACTATGAATAGTGGTACTGTAGGGTGCTTGATTGAAATTTCGGTATCAGTGGCACACCCGAGAGACATTACCCTGGATGGTTCTCTATTTCCCATTGCCTCGGTTAACTTCTAAGAGATATAATTGATGGGTGAGGGATGGGTGAGGAGTAGACTCAAATTTAATCCATCTATCAAAAGAAGACTGCTTTCTATGCTCTTGTTGAGAAATGGAATATTTATGCTCCCGGGCAGGTTGGATTCCCCGGACCACTGATTTTGACCGGAATTAACATCAATACCCCGGCTCCGTACCACTTTTTCTTGGATGGCCCTTGTATATTGCCTAGGACAGGCAACCCGGAAGAAGGCTGCGGGATTTATCAGCATCAACCTGCAATGCTTTCCGAATACCCTAGGACACCTCTCCCCGCCCCTCTGCTACCAGATCGCATTTCCTAACAGCATTATATCATAATAAACCCTACATGTCCTCTCTTCACTGCAAAATGAGATTTCTCATCCACTCAAGCTATTATTCTGAGTTGACTCTCAGTTCCCTCCACCCGGACTGCAAGGCTACTCTTATCGCCAGGGAGCGATGCTAATCACGCCATGAGCACTTGTCACGAAAGAGTCGGTAGGGCCACGTGACTCTTACTAGGATCATGATGATCGAATGTTTTCTGGGTGAGCTGGCTTACCAGAATTGTTCCCAGTTGGCCATCCGATGATATTCCTGAGAAATTGTATCCTTCGTGTAATGGTAGGCATGGAGTGAAAAGAGAAGGGTTAGGAGCATTCAAGCCACTCCTGGGGAGAAACCTGGCGAGTGATACATGATGAAGCACTACCATTTTGAGCAACCACCACTCTAGAAAGCAATCAAGTAGCGCCTTCCCACAGGGTGAGCACTACAGAGTGCAGATCCAAATTAAAATGGTCCTGAAAATCCCAAATGATCGTGACAGACCTTCTAAGCTGGAGGGCAGGGCCAGTGGAGACTAGTCCGGTGGAGCCGTAAATTTGGCTTCAACAAATCGAGTTTGTCATCAAAGCATTCCTACATCATCTATTCCTTTGCTCCACCATCTATTAAGTGTTTGTCGAAGACAGATGGAGGTAGACTCCCCGAATTGCCTCCCCTCGTAGAGAAAACCCATCGCAAAGTTAAGGTACCCTTCTATCCTTCTCGGGGAAGCAAAGGTCTTATTAGTAACTCAGAACTTGAGGTCATATTTACCAATCGATACTCGTTTTGAACACGCCCAAACCTCGCCCTCTCATCCCGTATGGGAGGAAAACTTTGTGGGAAGGAATAGAAAAATAAAAAAAATAAAAGAAAAAAAATACTCGATGGCGGGATTTACGCGGTCGATCGCGTGATAAGGGTTTTTTTTTTCGATATAGTGAGGGCAAGAGAGTATTCATTGTTATTCCTACTATCCGACTTGGTTCAGCTACCCTTCCTCCTCAAGAGATGCTAGTAGGGAACCTGGCCAAATACAATGCACTGATGGGAATGCCATTCCTAAAATGCCAGGAGGCTATAATCAGATTTGGAGAATCTATTATCGACTTCCCAGAAGAGAAGGTCATAGTCTCATGTAAACCACCGAGTGGAGAATACCTTGCCACAGTCTGTAAAGTAACTGCCCAATGCCTATTGGACCAATACTCTGATGTTTTCCCTGATCAGATGCCAGAGGAATTACCACCTATGAGGCGAATAAACCATTATATCCACCTACGGGAGCCCTCTAACCTCAAGAACCAAGTGACCTACTCTATCCCGGATGCATATAAAGACCTACTATGCGATTAGATAAACCCAAACAAAAGAACGGGAATCCTCTTCAGTGTAGAAGCATCTGGTGCTGTACCAATGTTTGTACAACTCAAAGCAGACTGCGAAAGAATCTGCCTCCTGGTTGACCTGATATTAGGGAATGAAAACACAGTGATGGACAGTTCAGCTATCACAAACCAGATACAGATCCTGGATACAGTGTAATGGGCACAATTCCGAAGCAAGATTGACCTAAGCGATGCCTATTTTCAGACAAGATTAGACCCAGAAAGTAAACAATATAACTATTTCAAGATACTGTTTGGAGGTTTCATTAGCAGAGTCATGCTATAAGGAAACATCAATGTACCCGCCACCTTCAAGAGTATAATGGAAACCTGCTAAGTGAATACCTCTACTATTTCATTGGTGTTTATATTGATAACATCCTCATTTTTTTCAAACTCCTGAGAGGAACATGTATACCATATAGATTTAATGTATACCAAGCTATGTGAAGCTAAATTCTACACTAGCCGAATCTGTTCTGCTTACTGAAAGGATTGAAATCCTGTGACATGTAACAGACGATGACAGAATACATGCTACCTCTAGAAAGATTACCTCTTGAACAGAATAGACAACCCCCCGAAATCACAAGGAACTAATTCGATTCCTTGGATTTGTCAATTACATCTCCCAGTTTCTACCACATCATGCCACAGTGATCCCACCCCTCACAGACCTTACTAGCAATAGAGAATTGGCTTTAAATCCATACCCACAAACAATCGTTTACCAATATAAAGGAATTAATCAAGAATGACAATGTTATCCCACCTATCGATTACATTAAACAAGAATCAATTGGGCTGATTACTGATACATCAGATGTTAGGATTAGAGCATAGATTGGCCAAGGACTATCGCATGAAATGGTAAGACCGGCAGCATTACACCGCATGAAGTTCACTAATTCACAATTGAAATATGGAATACTAGACAAGGAAGCGCTTGCAGTGAGCTATACTCTTGCCACTTTCAAACACATCTTGATGGATAACATCTTCCCTCTTGTTACTGACCACCAACCTCTTACTGTTCTGAAAGCTAACAAGACCCGTGGCTGGAAAAGGACACGATAGATAGGAGAAATCAGTAAATACGATGCAAAAATCATCAATACCCCGCGAAGAACCAATTATTTTGCTGACTCACTGTCCAGGGTTTCTCAGAATGAGACACTCCTTTACTACCCTCTTATTTATGACCATATAAGACAAAGTGAAGATAGCCCAGACAACTTCTATGAATAAGAAACAACATTGGCTACTACGAGTATGGCCCCTTCCTCCATTCCTTTCTCTTATAGCATGTACAGGGTAGCTGGAATAGAGAGCAGAAAAGAAATCTGACAGGAATAGAAAGACAATTATACCATCTGCAGCATACCTCCCCATGAGCTTGAACAAAGCAGACACATTTGGTCTCACGACTACCTCGATACCTGTCCCTTTCACCAGACAGAAATTACATTCGGAAACAAATAACATCAACCGTGCTGTACCTCTACAGGAGATTCCTAAGGCATCAGACTCGACATTGCAGAAGAAGCTAATGAACAACAAATGATGGATGATATTAATGATAGATTAATCCAACCCCTTCTTACCCTTAATCTTGCTTCAAGATGACACCAAGGTCTTGAACAACTCGAAGAAGAACAATCCTACTAGGATATAACATCCTACCTACAGTCACCTACTACCTGCTCACCACCGATAATATATTCACGATTACTATTTGGCGGAACTTACAGGTATACAATAATAAAACTATTGTCTCTGTCATACGAACCACCATTCCTGAACACCGCTGACGACTTTATGAAATCTTTGAAGACGAGAAGAAAGAACCTATCAAACCGACAAGAAAATTGTTGTTTTATCACCAATGTGTATAGTGGTTACAGTTTTGGATATGTATTTATGGTGCTATTGTTGTGATCAGAGATGACAGATTGCAGGTTTCTTTTATTGGTGGAATGACCTTCTATATATCGGAAGTGGTGACGGTTGTAGTGTAGGAATGGACAGTACACTTGTCATCATTGGGAAATAAAGACAGCGTGGACCTCTCGGTTGGCATTATGAGATAGCGTAGGTGTCATCATGAGCAGATGACAGAGATGCCGGAACTCCTGTATTTCAAGGACGCCGTGTGCTGGTTATGTTGGAAGGAAAGGTCAGCGAGGAACACAAGAAACAATCAAGTTACCAATTCCGCCAGTATTCAGCCTACTTCATCGCTCGGTTGTATATATTTCGTGCTTTCTTTCAATAGGTTATGAGCCCAGACTAGCGCACAGAACATAGCCAAAAATCTATTCAGCAAGCCACATGAGTGAGCAATTGACCACTAAAATAATGTCGGAAAGGGAAACCGGTATGGCGCAAGATGATGCCACGAACGAGAAGCGCAGTTCCAATACGTCCTCCCTTACACAG